TCGCCAATTTCCTGACTACGGGACCTTGCAGGCCATGTAACATCTCCATACCTGAGTTTCAGCATCTATAAAATGGGAATGGTAACTATACTCCTTTCATAGAGCTGCTATAAAAACTGAAGGCACCGAATTTCCTTCCCTTTCCTTGCCTTCTTTTCTTCCTTCTTTTCCCTCCCTTCTTCCTCTTTCTGTACCTCTCCATTCTCTCCTGTCTTCTTCTCCATTTTCTCATTGCTCATAAACTTTTGATGTGGATTAAATTACTACATACAAGATTATCATCCATTGCTTTTTCATATTTTCACCTAATCAAAATCAACTACACCCCAGAAATAATGCTAAACCTTACAGCTGGGTTGAACCCAAAGTTGCGAACCGTGTTCTAAGAAAACAAGTGTCTCGCCCCCCTTCTTTGGGTCAGTATGTTTGAGATCAAAAGCCTTCTTGCTGAGATAAAGGGCAGAGGCTGAAGATACGTTCAAGACCATGCGTGTACCTGGGACAGCAGCTCCGTGTGGGGGGCTCCCAGGGACAGCCAGGCTGAAAGGCATGAATTCATCCATCAGGAGGAAGCCAAGACTTCATCACATTCACCTTACACAGCACCTGGGCAAGTCACTCCTTGAGCAGGAAATCCTTCTCCCCTTGCCTGGGGATCCCTCCTGTGTGCTTTGAAAGCAAGAGTGTCGAACTGTACTTTGGACAAGCAAAGCAGGAAAGAGGATTAGCCATTCGCATCTCTGGGCCTTTTTCTTCTCCCTCCACAAAGACACGTTCTGCCTCCTGCCGGGCGTTGTGGGGAAGATTAATTAGCTAATATTGGTAAAGGGCCTTTGATGATGACTGCTAAGTGTTCGCACCGTGTAATTGCCATTTTTTCCAAGAAAACGTCCATGTAGTTACTAATTAGGCATTGTTGAAGCACCTCTTGCCCCATTATTTTACAGTTGTCTTGCAATTAACTGGCATCAGTACCATTTCAAATGACATTTATTGCCCATTTCCCGGGTTTAATTTTTGGCAATTTTATGGGAAGCCTGGGCGTTGTTTCTTATTCACTGTAACTTGAATAATTAACAACGTAAATATGGCTTTGGGTGCTGATGTTGCCAACAACAAGAGTTCTTGAGAGATTTTAATTAAGAACACTGCACACTGAACTTCATGTGAAGGTTTATTATGGTGCCAGAACGCACTACGTGCTTCTTCCCTGTGGGCCCGTGGCTCATGCCTGAGTGTCCATGCACAAGTATGTATGTGCCAATGTATGGTTTTCATGATCAGTAATATGAGATCTGCGGACAGGAGCAAAGTCCCCTTTGGCTTAGTCTTCTTTAAGGCACAAACTAGAGAAACGGACTAATGAACTTTTCTCCATTTTTTAACTATAACCTAGAGATTTGTGTTGGCTCAAATCAAGCATCATTTGTTAATGTCCACTGTGGTTTCAGGTATTGGACTAGATGTGTTTCATACTTTCATTAAGCTTTACAAAAAGTCAATGAGGTCTCTCATGTTGACAAAATGAAGGCTCAGGGAAGTTAAGAAAGGTGTCCAGGGTCACACGGCTAATAACAGATGAGGACAGGACTCTGAAGGACTCTGAAGCCTGGACCCCTTCTGCTTTTTCTCTGAAGCAAAATTGCTGAGCTTGCTGTCTGGAAGGGAGCCTTGGTCACTCCAAAGGCCAACTTGTTCCTTCTCCAGGAAGGCTTAGATTGCTCACCTAAATGAATCTTCATTCCTGTGTCTGATGGTAATTCCTATCATTTCTCATAATCTGACTTTCATTTTAGCTGTGTTCTGATGGGGAGAGCAATGCGATACAGTGGTTAGGAGAGCATGGGCCTTGGGGCATTATATTTCTCACTCTGCCTCCTCCTACCGAAGTCATCTTGAACAAGTTCTAACACCTCCTAAGCTTCATGTTATTGATGGAAGATGAGTGGAGAGCATGTGTGGAAAACTTAGAATATTTCATGGCACATGGAATGCACACAATATATATATCGGTTGGATGGATGGATGGATGGATGGGCAGATGGATGGGTGGATAGGTGGCTAAAAATATATAAATAAGTGGATGAATGGCAGAGACTATTCATTACTCATCTGTAGGATTAACTCCCCCAAATTCCGATCGCTCAAGCTTGGACTCAGTATTAGTTCAATAAGATTATTTTTTAACTAAAAATGAATCTCAGGAAGACTTTTTTAGAAAGTTTAGTGTGTCTGACTGGAGCCTAGACTGTCCATCCCTCTGCGGTCACAAAACTGACCAAACCCTGATTATGAGGAAGCATCCAACTTCTTGACAAAAATGATCACTAAGACCAGAATCTGGTGACCACCAATGGGCTGAACTATATGGGTCTGTTTGTGTGTGGTTTCTTCCACCCGCACTTCATGTGTAGGGACAGAAGGACAGAGGTCAAGAGGAGGGCTGGACTTGAAATCTCAGGATTCTCATAAGAATTCCAACCCCACCGTGTGTAGTTATCTGTGTGACACTTGAGACTCTGGAGAATTGCTATAAGAGCAAAATTCACAGGCACTATCCAAAAAATGGACTCTGAAAGGGAGGCTTTCTTGTGGAAACTTACCTAGTGAGACTTCTCTGTAAAAACACCTGTCAGGGAGGGAGAGAAGCAGGACTGGGTAAAGGTGACTGCAGCAAACCTGAAGCTGATCTTCTGGGCATTTCTGGAGCTGGGGGATTGGAGGCCTTCTGGCCTCAGAGCTGCCCTGAATTGAGAAAGAGGCCCACACTTTCAAATGCTTGCATGTTGTCCCTGGAAGAGGGATGTGACTTTGGGCAAGGCCAGGGGAGAGCAGCTCCTGGGGAGGAACTCAGCTGTGAGCTGTCAGCACCCCACAATCCCAGCAGCTGCAAGAATGGGGTTCTGAGTCCTGGGAAGGAGGACTCTGCGTGGAGCACTCCAGCATCCACCACAGTGAAATGGGTTTGAGCTCAGGATGTCTTTCCCCATATGACTGCATCATGATTCTTTCCCCTGCCACTCAATGACTATGATCATTTCTACTTCTCGGCCGGAGATAGAGTTTCAGAGCTAAGTAACTGCCCAAATGACATACTAGGAGATTGTAGGGTCCATAATGTGCCACCAACACCCATGCACATTCCCTAGGACTGTGTGTCTGCCTCCTTTGACAGCAAATGAGAAGTCACTCAATAGCTTGCTAACCTATTCAACACTCTGTTGCTTGTTAAAACTCATAAGGAGATCGAAAGGTACTCTCTCTCTGTGTGTGTGTGTGTGTGTGTGTGTGTGTGTGTGTGTGTGTGTCAAAGAGAGAGACAGATGTTTCAGAACAAGCAAAAACCTAGCTGGTTCCTCCGCGTGTTTGGCATCATTCAGGACTTTAGAGGAGAAGTACAAGGCCATTACAACACATTCCGTATCGAGAAGATTCTGAGTCAGGTCTTACTGCTTATAAATGAAACTCCATGAAGTCAAACCTAATATACACTTTTTGAGTTTCATTCATTACACTCCCTATTATTTTAGGAATTATTTATGGCACATCTATGATGTACTCCCTAGGGACATGGAGGTCAATGGAGCTGATGGGTTGGTGTCAGGTTGTGTTGGTCCTGGACTCCAATGCCGTGAAAGGATTCTGCAGACATGGCGGCCTAGGGACTACAAACAGACAGAGAATAGTCTCCAAAGCCTCAGTCTGTTGCATCATCCCCCACTCCGAGGTGTAGGCTGCAAGTGGGAGGGAAGGAGGAAGAGGCATTAGGGAAACAATGGAGCGTTTACTCCAGCCTTGAAATGTCCTCAACCCCAGAAACTGTGAATGTGTAAGTGGCCGTCTCTGGAAGAGTAAGCCCCTTCGAGGGTTGACTGGCATAATCACCAGCCTGTGCACCTACAGACGCCAGCTTCAAGGTGATGTGAGCTCATGGAGACACAGTAGGCACCATGAGGCTTCTTTCCAGAGCAGGACCAGCTCAGGCGTGCATCCTTGCCCCTTACGGTCCCTGCTGCTGGGAGACACAAGGTTTCCTCTCACCATCTCCTTTTTAAAACATTTACCCTTACCTGCCTAGGCTTCCTTGGGGTCTGTGAGTCTCCAGTAGGCACAAAGGATTCTTGGAGCCTCTTCTGACTAAATGTGAGACGAGAGTCTGGCCGGTCACTCGGTTTACGAGCAGAATGAAGGGAGCTACTGCCGGCCGGCAATCGGCAGGCTACTTCCGTAGTCTGAGCTTTGGTTTTTCCGTCATCTGCAAAATTGCTTGGTGGGGGTTGGGGGGAGGACGATAGCCATCCCGTATTGTGAGGATCAAACGGGAGAAAGATGTAGCTCCAAACGAAAGGCTGAATTCAGATTAAATTGTCACTTGTGAGACAAAGGCTGAGCATGGTGCTGGAAACATTTCTACCTACGTCATCTTAATAATCAGTTGACATCACAGTCGCCTTCTGTGCCTTCGAAGAAATGGAGCTCGTAGAGATGATTTCACTTGCTGGAGGCTGCCTAGCTATTAAGCCTATGCTGGTTTCAGATGGCTAGTTTTGCGGAGATTAGAGACCGCCTGGGCCTCAGAGGGGACAAGATAGGGCTTACCCAGCAGGTGGTGGGACTAGATAGATGCTGTCTAACTCCCTGCTGACACCAAGGTTCTGTGATCTGGTGGCTTGGTGAGGACCCCTGCTGGCTGAATTTTGCGGGCGGGCGTGAACTCAAGTGAGGCTGGAGGTTGGGAGGGAGAGGACAAAAGATCTGAGTGTCATTATTTGTGTAGTCTCTTTTCGGCTGTATCGGGTGCTCCTGGTTTCTGCCACTGCTTTGTTAATGCCCTTTGCACAAAGATCATGATGCTCTCAGACGCCGCCTGGCCTGTCTCTGCCTCCTGCGGTAGCCTCGGCTCACCCAGACCCTGGTCCCTTGGGCTTTCACACCAGCAGCTCCCTCTGGCCTTTTCAAGTGCTGCTTCTCCTGCCTGGAACTCTCTCCCTGTGGATCTGTGTCACCTTTTCATCCTTCAGCTCTCAGCCAGGCATCTTTTTCTCAAGGCTGGCTATTGTGCTGCCCTGGGGCCAGCTCAGCGTCCTTTGTGAATCACTAATACAGCCCTGTCTTCCTTTCCTTTAGAGCACCTCACTCACTCTGCAGCTATACATTCTCTAATGGATTAACTTACTGATATTTGTCTTTCCTTCTATCCTGCAAGCCCCATAAGAGCAGGGGCAGTCTAACATGGCTGGCGCAGACGTTTCTAATCACGGACCACTACTGTAAATATTCTCTAGTCCCGGCCAGTCTCCGATCTGTGAAGCTAGTGTATGGTAGGTGTGAAATAATATTTGTGGTTCGCTCTGAAAACACTGTCTTCCATTCCTTCAGAACACTAACTCAGTTCACATCTATACGTTTCTTAATGTGTCACATGATTAATAACGAATGAGTGGGGGAAGGAAGGAACGGGTATCGTGGTACTCGCCATCGACTTAACTGTGTGCAAGGCTTGCAACATCAGTGGGGACCTGTCATTATTTTATGGGGTTTCAACCTCTGGAGGAGAATTTGAGGTCTGGTCTGCCTATCTAACTAGGAGCTAGGGTCCATAGTAAAAGCGATTCTTTGTATAATGTGGGTGACATAGACTTTGGAACCAGACTGCCTGCTGCCTTTTATAGAGTCTAAAGCCTGACTCCACCACATATTAGCTCCATGAATTTAAGTGAGTTACTTAACCTGCCTTTGACTCAGTTTTGCCACCTGTAAAATGGGGATGATAATAGTTCTTATGTTGTGGGGTTGTCGTGAGGACTGAGTACTTTCATATTAGTTTTGTGGAGTTTTTAGGGAAGCACCTGACTTAAAGTACATGCTATGTATCTGTTTGCTATTGTTTTATGTGTTTAGGAGGAGGTAGATCATGTTATGCCTCCTCAGATGCCAGCCCCTCTAATCACTTCTTTCCTACCTCTTCCTCCCTTCTGACTAGAGTTGCTAAATTCTGGCCATTGCCTGAGCCTGGTTGATTATGACAATGGTTTTAAAATTTTCCTCTATACAGAACTAGTTATTAAGGTTCACTAGAGTTCTAGAGAGTTGAAACTCTAAAATCTGATCTGGCTAAGGCAGAAAACGTGGTCTGTGGGGAGGACAAACCCCAGAGTCCAGAGATATGACTTGAACCCAGGTTCTACCACTTACGGCTTTGGTGACCATAGGCAAGTCCCTTCCTGCCTCTCGGCCTCCTCCTCTGATAAAGGAAACACTTCAATCATCTATTCAATAAATATTTATTGAGCTCTTCTGGCATTTCAGACCTTGCTGGACTAGATGAAGTTTTAGATGTTTTATGGCTGCACCGTCCATCAGGTCCATCTAGGAAACCTCAAAAATGGTGAACTCAGGGGCCAGAGCGCAATGGACCGCGTTCTTTTAATTAACATGGAGCATCTGGGGTGGCACGTAACATTCACTCTGGCAATTTTTGGTTCTCTTTCTAAAGATCCACCTTTCAGCTTTCTTACTCTCTGTGATGTTTGTTTACTATTTCATTGATTTAGATTTCATATTTACTAACTCCTTCCCTCTATTTGCTTTGGGTTTATTTTGCTGTTCCTCTATCCTTTTATAGTGGAAACATGAATCACTCGTTTTTAGCTTTTTTTTTCTTGGTCTGCATATAAATATTCAGAGTTGGAAGTTTTCCTCTAGCACAGCCTTCGATGCTTCCTAAAATTATTGACATGGTGCCTTTCCATTATGATTGCTTGAAATAGTTCCATGTCCTTTGTGACTTCTTTTTTGACTGTAGCGTTGAGAAGGGTGTTGTGCAACTTCCAAATGTTTGCATATTTTTCTTTTGTGTTTTAGTTTATTGAATTGCTGATTTATTTCCTTTGTACTCAGAAGCAGAGTCTAGAAGCACTGCGGTATTTCCTCTCTGCTCTAGAAGAAGCTCTCCCTACATATGTACTATCCAGCCCTGGCCAGGAATCCGTTTCCCCACGCAGCATTCTGGAACCTCCTGTCTGCGCAGTGCTCTTCTCTTTAGGTCACGGTCCTGCAAATTCCAGTGGCTCTAGAAGTCCTTGACTCTGATTGCTGCCTCATCAGCTTAGCAAGAGTGCCGTTCTCTCCTTGGGCTCTGTTCCTGGTGACATATGGGAACCTTGAAGGTCCCCAAAGCAGAAAGTTGAGAAAATACTGAGCTTGCCACATGTGTCTGGTTTTTTGCTAGCACGAAGCTGTGTGCTGACATCACCCCTTTCCTCTCCCATTTCTCCATCAGAAATGCTTCGCTTATTTTGTCCACTTTTATAGTTGTTTACAGTAGTGGGGATGGGAGCGGTCTAGAACCCGTACTCTGTCATGGCCACACCCACAGTACTCCTTTTTAATTGAATCTTATCTAAGTTACTCACAGTAAACAGAAGAAAGTGGTCTTGGAAATTTAAGTTCTAAAATGCATGCTTTTAAAATTTAACACAATGTACTTATTATTTTTAATTTTTTAAAATTTATTTTGAGAGAGAGAGAGAGAGAGAGAGAGAGAGAGAATCCCAAGCAGGCTCCACGCTGTCAGTGCAGAGCCCGACACAGGGCTCAATCTCATGAACTGTGAGATCATCACCTGAGCCAAGGACGAGAGTCGGATGCTTAACCGACTGAGCCTCACAGGCGCCCCCACAATGTACTTATTTTTAAAAATTTTTTTTTAACATTTATTTATTTTTGAGACAGAGAGAGACAGAGCATGAGCAGGGGAGGGTCAGAGAGAGAGGGAGACACAGAATCCGAAACAGGCTCCAGGCTCTGAGCTGTCAGCCCAGAGCCCGACACGGGGTTCGAACTCACGGACCGCGAGATGGTGACCTGAGCCGAAGTCGGACGCCCAACCGACTGAGCCACCCAGGCGCCCCAGCAACGTACTTATTTTTATCAGCAGTTTTAACTTAATCTTTGTTTTATTTCTAATAGCAATTTCTGTTTATGAGCTTCAAAGAGAAAAATTATTGAGTCGTTTTCTTCTCGATCTCCAAGCTTCCGTCACTTTGAGTAACTAAATGGAACCTAACTTTGAGTAACTAAATGTAACTGTTGCATAAAACCGGTTTCTAACAATACCTAAGCAGTGCTTTTGACTTGATGCTTTTTATTTTTTTAATTTTTTTTATTTTTTTAAATTTTTTTTTTCAACGTTTATTTTATTTTTGGGACAGAGAGAGACAGAGCATGAACGGGCGAGGGGCAGAGAGAGAGGGAGACACAGAACCGGAAACAGGCTCCAGGCTCTGAGCCATCAGCCCAGAGCCCGACGCGGGGCTCGAACTCACGGACCGCGAGATCGTGACCTGGCTGAAGTCGGACGCTTAACCGACTGCGCCACCCAGGCGCCCCAACTTGATGCTTTTTAAAGGTAACACAAAGAGCGAGTCAAGAGTGACTACTTTAATACGTAAGATCAGTGGTGGTTCTCTTAAGCACAGTGTTATGGTCACACAGCACAGAGACAATCCTGATCCAGTGATAACATAACTGGCTGACACCACAGTCCCCTGCCTCAGGTGATGGCGAGTCCTTTAGTCACACGTTAAGCCGCACTGCTCTCATGCTCCGGCCTGGGTGCTCATACTGATTCATGTCGGATTCTGTCTGTTTTGCTGATTCTCTTCTGTGTTTCATACTTGTCTATGCCAGATTTGCCAAATTATTCTGTTTCATAAAAATCATTACTTTGTACCTGGATTGAAAGTCTAGCTCCAGGGGCGCCTGCGTGGCTCAGATGGTTAAACGTCTGACTTTTTGGCTCAGGGCATGATCTCGCGGTTTGTGAGTTCGAGCCCCTCGTCGGGCTCTGGGCTGACGGCTCAGAGCCCGGAGCCTCCTTCGGATTCTGTGTCTCCCTCTCCCTCTGCCCCTCTGATGCTCATGCTCTGTCTCTCTCTGTCTCTCGATAGTAAATAAATGTTAAAAAAAAATTAACAAAGTTAAAAATAAAGTCTAGCTCCAGAGAATTTAAATGCTTTATCTGTAATTCCCTGTAGTAACCCATTATGAACAGAATCATCATTTATTGCGTTTCTTTTAGCCATTCTTGTTCCTGTTGCCTATTGCACATATCCATGAAAATGATGAAAAATAAGGTTTTGGGTTTTGTTTTGTTGGGTTTTTTTTTTTCATCCCGAGTACATTTGGCAAAATTGCGGTGCTAAAACTCCTTGTCATCTAGGAACAGTGTCTCCTCTGTATAGCAAGGAGAGAGATTTAGGCTGGTTGGCTTTTGATGAAAAGAAAAAAAAAAAACTCCAATGTCATGCCATCTGAAGAAATATCTGCGTCAAAACTTATTTACCCTATTCTAATTCCTGTGTCACATTGTTAAAATAATTCCTAGCTTTAACAATCTCAGGATTTTCCCTTTAGTTATTTCACGCTCATTTAGGATGGTACAAATGAACTTAATAACACCCATTTTGGATGTTTGAAAGCTTTTCTTTTTCTTATGACTCTTTCACATGCTTCAAAAAGATAAGACTACTGGAGCAGTGAGTTCTGGGTAGATGAGATATTATTCTGTCCTCCACTCATTTGTGTGGATTCATTAAGCAGTTACAGTTTAAAATCACAAATACCACTAGTTTGGGGAAAAGAATTATGCTTTCTACTCTGGAGAACACAAAATAAGCAAACTCCCCGTCCTCAAGTTACTCCAAGCATAGATGGAAAGCCCAGGTACAGTTACATGCAAAATTAAGTGACAAGTCAAGATTTTGGAAATGCAAAAAATACAGGAAGTTGTATGAAAAACAAATGATTGGGCAGGTAATATGGACAAACCGAGGACCGGAATGGACTGAGAAATCTTTTCCAGGAGTGTGGTATAGTTAAGGAAAGTTTGTCCAATGTCCAGTTAACTGTAGCCTAAGAAAATTTCCACACTTAAGCTGCATGTTTATCTGCAGAGGTTTATTTATTTATTATTATTTTTTTTAACGCTTGTTCATTTTTGAGAGATAGAGAGGCAGAGTGCAAGCAAGAGTGGGGCAGAGAAACAGGAAGACAGAGAATCCAAAGCAGGCTCTAGGCTGTCAGCACAGAGCCTCATGAGGGGCTTGAACTCACAGACTGTGAGATCGTGACCTGAGCCAAAGTTGGATGCTTAACCGACTGAGCCACCGAGGTGCCCCTATATGCAGAGGTTTAGGAAGTATTTTGTTCTTTGAAGTACAATAGGCTGTGCTGTCTAATTTGATGCTCAGTCTCCTTATTTAAAATGTAACTCACCTTCCTTGCGCTCTGCTCTCTTTTTCTCTGTAAAGAGCCTCATCTGCTTTCTGGAACCCTGGTCCTCCACTTGTGTTCTTGCCTCCTCACTTGGGATGCCAGCGGTAACGGGACTGGCTCCCCGTTCTGATTCTGAACAAGGTTATAGGCTAGAATGGACTTCTCTGCCCAGACTGGAAGTGAACGAGGAGCAAGGGACTGGGAAGAGCATCTCCAAACACACCCAGAACTGCCGTTGGGTTATACGTGGACTCTTGGAAGAGAACAGCTACAGATACAGTTGTGCATGTTGCTGGCTTGAGACGAGACCAGAGCATCTTTCCCCCCACCCCCCAAGCCTGCAGGGACAGTTATATGGAGAATTTAAAGAAAAAAACATCAGATGAAGACTTGTAGCCATATTGAAGAAAAGATGTTCTTGTCTGTGGCTGTAGGTATCGTGTTCTAAATTGCATCATTTTGGTGTCTTGTATATAATATATCCCCCTTTCTCTTCGAAAATGACACTGTAGCAATTGATTTTGTTTTCATCAGTAAGGTGAGCCAACCCATGTGGTTTGCAAGGGGGTAAATAAACCAGGCACAAGGACTAAAATGTAATGATGTAACCACAAGTAGAGAAAGATGCATGTGCATCGCTGGCTGGCCGTGTTCTCTAGACAGAAGCTAAACACTGGAGCTGGGACTTGATTCTCCAGCATCCATATCTCTTTGGGAACACTCTTTATCCTTGTTTGAAAGCATGGACTTAGAAGTGAAACTTAAGCTCCTTTGACAAAATCCTATTTAATCAGGCCTTTTGCTTATCTGCAGGCATAAGCCAGCCTCCCTAGAGCTGCAATTTACTCTGTTTGTTGGGCGATAGAAATTTATTCCATTCTTCTTGCCACTTCCCAGGAACGTGGTTCAAGAACTTGAACTGGACCCTGAACGGTGGATAGAATTAATGTTACTTTCAGAAATAGCTTGTCGGGGCACCTGGGTGGCTCAGTCGGTTAAGCGTCCAATTTTGGCTCAGGTCATGATCTCACGGGGTCATGATCTCATGGTTCACGAGTTCGAGTCCCGTGTCGGGCTCTGTGCTGACATCTCAGAGCCTGGAGCCTGCTTCGGATTCTGTGTCTCCCTCTCTCTCTCTCTCTCTGTCTTTCCCCTGCTCGTGCTCTGTCTGTCTCTCTCTCAAAAATAAACATTAAACAAAAGAAATGTCTTGTCTATCTTAACGTTAAATAACTATTCACCTTATGTTTTTTCTTTTACTTCTGTTTATAAAAAATTGAATCTTTTTTTGTATAAAATACAAATGGATCCCTTGCAATCCATTAGTCAGATGGTCCACTCACATTTATTGAATACTTGACCAGATGAGAGAGACGTTTTTATTATATGTAGTGCTTTTATGTAGAGTCAAGGCTGTGCATGGACTTTCCAGTCTCTCCCATTATCTGTCCATTATTCCTCATACCTGCACAACGGTTTGGATACTTTAAGTTCAGTTTCTCAACCTCAGCACTATTGGCCTATTGGGCCAGATGACTCTGTCGTGGAGTGAGGTCCTGTGCACTGTGGGATGTTCAGCAGCACCCTAGGCTTTGCCCTACCTGACGCCAGTAGCTCTCCGTGCCCCCACCCCAACTCAACTGCAGCAAAGAAAACTGGCTCAAAGACATTAACAAATATCCTCTGGGAGCCAAAATTGCCCACGGTTGAGAATTACTGCTTTGGCCCAATAATGTGTTTTATACATTAGATAAGGCAAACCAACTCCTTAGCAACGCTTGGATGAAATTCTGAGGTATTGGTATCTCAGTCATTGTAATCGGGCTCTGGTACTTTATTGAAAGGAGGAGCGGTGTGTAATAACAAGATGACTGATGTGCTCGCAAGCTGAAACTCCTTATGATCGGAGGATCATTTTTCTTCTCCCTCTTTCTCTCTCTGTCTAGAACCTAGGAGTGGAGGAATAACTGGGAACGTGAAATCGTTGTGTCCAGAGATCTTGTTGACAAAAGCTCACTCCATTAATGGTACCTATGCATGATCACGAGGGAGAGATGTTTCTTTTTCTTTTGCCTCAGGATGTGTCTGTGAGGGACTTAAGTCACCTGGGTAGGATGTGGAAGACTAGGAGGTGTCAGAAATAGCCACGTGCCTGCCCAGGGAGGCCAGACAAGCTCGGGTGGCCAGATCAGCTGGACAAGAGGAAACACCAAGATCAAATAACAATACAGTATCTGCGAACATGTCATAGAACATGGTAACGTAAGGTAGCAGGACAGGGGTATGCTACGAGAAAATGATTGGAAGTCCAGTGGCTAACAGCACCAGAGAAAACTGTTCACCAGTAACCAGGCTCCAGTTTCTGAGCTAAGTTCAAGAACAGAGAGGGAAAGAAGTCAGGAAAGACTAAGAAAAATAGGACTGCGCTAACAAGAGTTTTACAGAAACCACATGATGGAGACGAGAAGCTAGCTCAAGCAACATGTCAGAGACGCAATTATCCGGGGTAGAAAATAAGATCCTAGAAGATCAGTAGCAAATATTTCTTTATCCTGTATCTTTATGCGTTAGATGGATATGTGTTCATCACATCACAGGTGAGACTTTATCCCCTAAATTGACAAATACTTCTTGAGCACCTGCAACGTTTGTCCTGGGTGATGGAGATTGAGTAGCCAAAATAGAAAAACATCCCGCTGTCATCCGGTTTGTGTTCTAATGGAGGAGGAGAGGACATAAACATAATAAATAGATAAATACATAGTGTGTGCGGAGGGAATAAGTGGTAAGAAAAAGTGGTTCAGGGTAAAAAGGATTGGGAGTGCTAAGTGTGAAGTCAAATTAAATACGGACTTAGATAAAGAGAGACTTCACTTAAAAGACTGTTTCGATAGGCAGAATCCTCTGATCCTAGAAATCTGCAACTATCTCAAAATTAAACAGAAATAAAAGGCTTTTGGGGGGCCTGGGTGGCTCAATTGGTTAGGCGTCCGACTTCGGCTCAGGTCATGGTTCGTGAATTCGAGCCCTGCCTCAAGCCCTCTGCTGTCAGTGTGGTGCCTGCTTTGGATCCTCTCTGCCCATCCCCCTCTCCGCCCCTCCCCCACTCATCCTCTCTTTCTCTTTCTCTCACTTCAAATAAATAAAAACTTTAAAAAATCCATCAAAAAAGAAATAAAGGGCTTTTCTTTTACAGGGTGGGGTGGGAAGAGCTAGCAGGAAGTCTGTGGGGGAGGAGGGCAAGTGGGTGGGGTGGGCAGGTGGCATCTTTGGGGTGTTTTCGCAGTGAAATGTTTTTCTTTATGGTTAGCAGATTCTCAGAATGAGGTGTGTTAGGGGCGGATGTTTTGCACCCTAGTGGTTTAGTGCTTGTCTAAACTTGAGGACAAGCCAATATTTTGGGGCCCATGTGGAGGAGAGGAGCCTGCCTAAAGTTTGGTCAAGCAGCGTTTAATGCATATGTCTAGAGAGATTGTGCGCACTTGGTCCTGGGGAGGAGCATTTATGTACAATGTTAAATTTTTTTTTTTTCAACGTTTATTTATTTTTGGGAAAGAGAGAGACAGAGCATGAACGGGGGAGGGGCAGAGAGAGAGGGAGACACAGAATCGGAAACAGGCTCCAGGCTCTGAGCCATCAGCCCAGAGCCTGACGCGGGGCTCGAACTCACTGACTGCGAGATCGTGACCTGGCTGAAGTCGGATGCTTAACCGACTGCGCCACCCAGGCGCCCCTATGTACAATGTTAAATGCAGTGGTCAAGGGGGGAGCTCACTGGCATATTGTCAGAGCTGAAGTAAGTGAATAAGCAAAGACTTCAGAGCAACAGGAGAACAAAAAGCTGATACTGAGAGAGAAACATCGCGGCCAGAGGGAAGGCCAGCAGGAGGGGTTGCGGTGGGAGTGTCGCTGTTGTGTGTGAAAAATAGCACGGCAAATTCTGTTTTCCGAAGATTGCCTCGGTAATATCTCCCATCCCACATGCATTTCTTGCAATGCCATCTTGCCACCTTCCCATGGACAGGGAGACTTTGTTTCTCCAAGTCCTTAAGTCCTGCCAGGCTCCGTGACTGCCGGCACCCATAGCACATGGCAGAAGTGTTGCCGTGCCGGTTGTACGTGTGGCCCTTACTTACCTGGCAGAAAACTTCGGCTTCCCGGTTCCTGGAGCAGTTGTTCTTGGGACAAGTGTCTTTGAACACCGACTCCCCTCCCCGGGCCACACTGTGAGAAGCCCAGGGCGCGTAGAGAGGCCACATGGAGGCGCTCTGGCCTGCAGCCTCAGCTCAGACCCGAGCATCGACCGTGAGTCATGTGAATGAGTCATCTTGGACGCCTGCCTTTCTGAGCCAGCAGGTGATTGCAGATCTGGCTGACAGTGGTCTGCAACCCCACAAGAAACCTTAAGCGAGAATGCCCAGCCAAAGTCAACCAACCTACAGAGCCACCAAGGGATAACAAAGTGTATTAGGCCACTTAATTTGGGGGAAGTTTGTTATGAAGGAAGAGATGACTGGGATAAATAGCAAGGAGGAAACTGTGGGGCGAGGGGAGCGGGCCATGGGGAAATTAGTCTCCAGGGACATGAAGTCGGAAAAGTACATGGGAAGTCCAGTTGCGTATTGCCTCCTAAAAACGTTCGAGTTTTGCCCTGAGTGAAGTGGAGGGCCGGTACAGGGTCACGAAAGCACAGTGACACGATCTGAGTTACATTCCGAAAGGGTCTCCCTGGCTGCTGTGTGGGGAATCAAATGCAGCCACTGTTGTAACAACCCCGGTGACCGATGATAGCAGCTCAGATCACACTGATGGACGGACGGGAGGTGAGAAGTTGTTGGCATCTGTATGCGTTTTGGTGGTAGGGCCCCGAAGTGTTTCCTGATGGATTGAGATGTGAGAGAATGAGGTAGTCAGGAATGCCTGTGGTCCTGGGAGAACGATGTTCCCATTCTGAACTGAGACAAGGAACACTGCTGGAGGACCAGGTGCAAGGAGGCAGACTGAGGGCTCAGCTCAGGATGTGTTCCATCTGGAACACGGTTAGACGTCCAGGTGGGAATATCAGGGAGGGATCAGGACGTTATAGGTTTGGAGTTAGTGAAGGTGTCAGGGCTGGAGTTTTAAATACAGCAGTGCTCAGAATATGGGTGTTTTGAAGGCATGAATGAATGAGGTCACCTATGGAGTGTTAGAAAAAGGAAGAGAAGAGAGGAGAAAAGAGGAGGGGAGGAGAGGAGAGGAGCGGGGAAGAAAGAAGGGACCAGGAACTGAGTCCTGAGCCATTGCAAGGTGGAAGAGGCTGGGAGAAGACAAAGGGACAGAAAGCAAGACTGAGAAGGAGCAGCTCGTGACAAAGGAAGAAAGCTGAGAAAGTGGATGTCCTAAAGTCTGGTGAAGGAGATGTTTTCAGTAGGAAGGAGCCAGAAGCTGGGTCAATGCCTCTGCTAAGTCAAATAAGGAGAGAACTGAGAATTGACCTCTGTGTGCGGTCTCAGCAAATG